TGCCCGCCACGCCGGCCCGGCACGGGTGATCCACGCCAGGACCGGGTGGCCCAGGGGCCCGCCGTCTCACTCACTGGGATTAAATGTGGCGCACCACGCCTCTCTCTTGCTGTCTCCTCCTTCCCGCCTTGGGAACCGGCCGGGCCTCGCGTGGGTCTGAGGCGGCAGGCGGCTTCCCCTTCTCCAAGCCGCCTCTGGCTTCGGACGCTGCTCGTGGGCCTCCGTGTGGCCGCATGGGTGGGCGGTGGCGTGGAGGGAACCGGGCGCAGGGGTAGGGGAGGGGGCGGGACCGCCCAGCAGGGCGGCGGTCGGGGCCGCTCCCACGGGCACAGGGTCTCGGCGTCCCGGGGGGCCATGCAGCAGGTGCTGGGGCGCGCTGAGGCGCGGTTAGGACCTCGGGGCGCGTCCCCGGGTGAGTTGTGTTCCGTGGGCCCCGAGGCCTCTTGGTGCTGCCAACTCTGACTCCCCGGAGAGCCCCAGCTGCGTCTTGCCGGCCTCCCCGGAGTCGGCGGCCTGGGGGCGGCCAGCGTCCCCTCTGGCGCTGTGAAGGTGGCGGGGTCTGTCTGGGGCCCGGGGCCAGACACTGGGATCTCGGCCCCATCCGACGGGGCTGCCCGCTTCTCCCGCTGGGGCCGGGGTGAGCCCGTGGGGGGACGTGGCTCCTGGCCCGCCGCCCTCCTCACCCGGACCCGCCCCCAGGCTCCAGTCTCCTCCCGTGGCGGAAATCAAGGAGACGCTCCGGACTGGGTCTCGAGCACATGTTTATTGGCGGCTGCTGTGTGCACAGCCCCAGCCGGGCTGAGGGGCGCGGCGCCCCGAGGCTCTGCCACGCCTGGGAAAGCCACGCCGGACACGTTAAGTAGCGGTAGCAGTGGTCGCGAGACGGCGGAGGGTAGCGGCCAGGTGACAGGCGTGAGCGGACCGCGCCCAGGGCCGGCCGAGCGGACGGGCCGCTCCGGCATTAGCTTGCTTAGCGGCCTGGCCGCGGTGCTCCGGCCCCCT